GAGAAAGACTACTTAGTTAGTATTTAATTATACTGAGTAGGTGGATGTGTACAGCTAAACTTGCGATTGGTTAATTTTAGGTTTTAGTTCCCTTTAGCAGTGTTATGTAATTGGGAAAGATCTCGAATTTGGGAGAATAGATGAATTTAGAGGAAGAACATAAAATCTAGAGTAGTCACCCTCTGAAGAAATCAGCTTCATATTTACGATACGTATAAGGAAAATCATGAAAATCTCACGCAGCCACTCCGTTCGTTGCTTCCGTTCAGATCTACCATACTTCAGCAGTCCTATCTATTCGGCCACTGGATCGCTGTGGGCTATAACCGCTATGAATTACGGTAATTATGATGAAAGTACCTTTGGACAATATTAAAATTAAACATAGGAAATTCAGCCTTTAAATTAGCATATATAAAACAGGTCACTAAGAGATGGAATGTTAAGGTCTCGTACCCACTTTTCACTTACTCCCAGCCTTTGAGAGGACTTTCTTCTCGTCAGAATTTAAGTGCCTCCATGTCGCAAAGGCGCTACAGTTACAGACTTCCGTGTCTTACCTAGGATTCAAATCTAGACTCAGTGACACGAGTGTTCATCAGCCTGGAATGATCTTATACCGTCTGAGGCGGCATTATCCACTGACAGTTAAAAATATTTTACCACTGAACTATATGCACAACAGATTAATATTCGGCAAAATTATTATTTCCTACGTGGGCATATTAAATTCGGGTCAATAAGTGTTAATATTGAACCAAATTTTTATGTTCACGAAATAAATGTTTTGACCTCAGCATTTACTTTATTTAGTAGTTTTGTAGCTAAGTCTTTATTTTGTAACGTTAGTCAGAGTACTCCTATAAGCTACTTTTGTTTTATTTATCTTCAGTATTACACCCATTTGTATAATTATGCACTTGTATAATATTGTAAAAATACCATAAAAATACACAGAATTAATTCATTTTTAAATTTTAATGTTTATAGCTAATTATTGCGCTCTGATGATAATGTCAAGTACAGTAAAGTTGCCAATTAAAGACAGCTGACTGAATATCGTTATATTTGTATTGAGTCCACAGATTGGTTAAAAAGAAAAATCAATTGATTTAGAAACAAGCAAAATTGGAAGACTAAAGGAAAATGTTATTTAATTGTGTTTTGCCATTTTTATTCTTTAAATATAGAGAAACATTTGATTTTTTTAAAAGTTTAAACTAAGTTGTATTTTTGCTATAATATTAAATAGCAATTACATTATACATCTTAACGGATCATTTATTTAATTTTATTTCTTTCCCTTAAGTCATGCATTTCCGGCGAAATTTGGTTCATGAAGAGAGACAAGCTTCAAATTTCTTCAAAATTCATAAGGCGTTTAAAACTTAAAATTCAAGATGGCGAACTCATTTCTCGATTGTGTGCTTTATAATGAAATGCAAAATTAATAAAGGCATATACAATAGCTATGATGTATACATATGTATTCGATGCGGACAAATCTGAGAAAGATTTTAAAATTTCTAATCGTATATAGCTTTTCCTTTTATCACAATGAAAAATTACATTCATTAAAGATGTGTATAAAGACATGTCCCTAAAACTTCTCTAACTTCTATTATTAATCGGTTAAACATGTCCCTAAATTCTATTATTAATCGGTTAAAAACCTGCCCCGATACAAAGGCGATATCTATGGATGAACATTCGCTAATTTCATACACGAATTTATTAACGATCACCACTTGCAGTTAATTTTTTCCTCCTTTCGGAAAGATTTAGGAAGCTTTTGAATTAATGATTTAAAACTACTTTTTCCAAAATGATGGAAATTAGGTAACCTTAGCTTTATTTCACCAATACAATCGCGCAGGTGATGATGTCGTTTTCACACAAAAAAAGGGGGGAGACAGACAGAAAGAAAAAGGAAAAAGGAAAAGAAAGAAAAAAAAAAAAAAAAAAAGAGAGAGAGAGAGAGAGATTGGATATAAGGAATTATTTTACAATACATTCTTGAACAAGAACACACATATATGTATATATAAAGCAAAAAAATAGGAGAATATTGAATTAAATAATTCCTGTTCTTGAGCAGCAGAGGATTTAAGCAAATTATTACTGTGAGAAATTTTTTTATTAAAACGATTATCCCAACCTAGGAAAAATTATTTAGGGCGTTCTCATGGTAATTGGTAGTGAAAAGTTAAAGCTGGAGAAAATTTATTTATGTAAGGTCATTAAAGTTTGACAGTTAAACAAAGGGTGAGTAATAGTTTTTATTTGATTCTTTCAATCGTTTTTATTTGATTATTTTTATTTGATTTATTTTCAAACTTTAATAACCTTTTATGAAAAAATGTTAAAATGAATTAAATAATTCCTGTTCTTGAGCAGCAGAGGATTTAAGTAAATTATTACTGTGAGAAATTTTTTTATTAAAACGATTATCCCAACCTAGGAAAAATTATTTAGGGCGTTCTCATGGTAATTGGTAGTGAAAAGTTAAAGCTGGAGAAAATTTATTTATGTAAGGTCATTAAAGTTTGACAGTTAAACAAAGGGTGAGTAATAGTTTTTATTTGATTCTTTCAATCGTTTTTATTTGATTATTTTTATTTGATTTATTTTCAAACTTTAATAACCTTTTATGAAAAAATGTTCTCCAGCTTTAACTTTTCACTACCACTTAACATGAGACAATATTAATGCTCTAAACATTTCACACGTATTTTTATACACCTTTCTGCACTTTCGTTTTTCAAGGCTTACGCTGAAGTCCGCCAGCGACTCGCAGAACAAGTTCTGACGTCGATCTCTGCACGATTAGGTCAAAGAACCATTGTCATTGGTAGCAGCAAGAGAACTGCTGATATAATATCTTGGGATGACCAATTTCATTTCCCCTCATTTTTGTATTACATAATCTTTATGCAATATTGTAGCCTTTTAGTAGGAAACTTGGAAGAAGTTCAGTTCGAGCTCTATAGTAGAGCTAACTCTATAAATAACTGTAGATTTCACTTTATCATTATACAGCTAGAATCAAAATCTCTTAGAAAAGTTATTCTCTCTGATAATCAGTTATATAATGGATTCTCAAATTTAAGGAGTAGTATGCTTAGCAAAAATACTTCGCAAAATAGAAAATTTGTAAACAAGTATTGCATTAAAACTGTGTAAAATTTCCTGAACCAAAAATGATAATTAGCAAAAACTGTTCATAAACTGGAGGCTCGTAAAAATGCGGATCCACAGTTTAGACATATAACGGATTTTAAATCTTCGATAAAGTAAATTAACACGCATTCGGCTTAAAGCAACTCTATTTAAGTGTAAAGCTTTTTCTTGCAAGCGTGTGGTCAAATTCAACTGCGCCGGTCTTAAATATATAGATAAAGTAGTTGAAGCATTCTTTGGGCTAAGAAGGTAGTGCGTATGGTGATGATCTATCTCAGCAGATCTCAACCTTTTGACTAACGCGAACCATCTAAAGAAAAATTGAAAAACTTATGTACCACCACTACATTTTATGATGATTATTTTTCAATTTCCTAAAAAAAATATATATTTTGCCATTTGCACAACTATTGGCTACTTCTTTTAAATTTGCACCCATAAAAATATTAGATTAAAAATTGGTTATCATTTTAACTATCAAAATTTAAGTTACAATATTGACTTCTAAAATTTATTATGAAATTTGGGCCTGTTTAAATACCAGTTTCCTTATGTCTGGTCACTATTCACTTAGCTTTAACCGTAAATTAGGATCCACTTTTAATTTTGTTCTGTATTCCCCTCCCCCCAGTTATAAAATGGAAGACAATATTTGTTCGCATAGCACAAATAGGTTGTGCAAAAAGGGAATAGAGATTTAACAGCTTTGTTTGAAATCCCTTTAAATTCTTTTTTTTTTTTTTCCTTCGGTTCAGCCAAAAGTTAACGTGTTATTTTTGAAATCTTCAGTTAGAGTTCCATCACAAAAAATTTCTATCCATTGTTTTTTTTCTTCACGATATTTTGAATTTAATCGTTATAATTACTTTTTTACTCACTTTGTTTCTTTGCGTACTACCGGTTGAGAATCGCTTATCTATCTGATATATTTCATGTTAACTGATTACGTTTAAATTTAATTATTTTAGATAAAAATTCGTGACATGAATATATTTCTCTCGAAAGAAAAAAATTACAGCAATGAATCTTTTCGACATTTTAGGGTTGTATTAAGTTAAAAAAGGAAATTTTACACATATATCCGCTATTTTATCAAAAATAACAAATTCTGTGATAATACTTCAGTATCTGAACCGATATAATACACTAACTTTGTCGTTCATGTAAGATTATAAGCAAATCATATTTAAGAGAAGTCTGGTCAAAATAACTTCAGACCAGGTAGTTACAGAAACGACTATATGAATAAAAAATTTTAATATCTGAATTTTTAATTTATTTAAATACGATGCCTTAATAAAAATTTTTGATTTCTGCAGAGTCCTCTTTAATTAAAAATGCAGAAAATTTTTTTAAAATACTTTTAGATATAAAAACTATGTAAAACTTTAAAACCAGACTTATCAGAAAAGGTTTTTTTAACAATTACAGAATCGTAAATTAGAAATAGCTTTTAATGGAATAAGTTAAAATATTACAGTCATATTTAAGCAATTATGAATATAACATTGCATTAATATTTTACAGTTGATTTTGAAGTTTCAAACAGCTGAAATCTCAGTACCTAATTCATGAAAAACAGAAGAAAAAATGAACTGGTAATAAAAAGAATTTAAAAACAGCATGACATTTCTTATTTCCACAGAAAACTAAACAAAACAAAAAATGACAGGTTATGCTATCAATAATCGAATATCACTATAGCACCAGTTAGACCACGCGTGTGTCATTCGTTATCGTAAACAACTGACAATTCATCAAACATTTCTTACCTCAAAAAAAGAAAATATTAAAAGTTGTCATCAGAGAGCGGAACTCACCTGTGGACATCCGAGACAGTCCTCGATCCGAAGTGAGTCTTCTCGACACGACGATCACCTTAAAAACAAAGCTGCTCTTCACTCGGCGCAAACACTATTCTAGACACGGCATTCACAGGAGGCGTACGTTTCTCTGTGAAGTAGCAGACGCGCAGCCCCGCGGAATGTCACCGGTCGATTACTGCCGACGCGACCAATCCCATACCTACGGCAGCGCCCCCTACCGACAATTGCGTTCCAGAAACGGTGTGAGGAAAAGGAAAATCATTACATCCCATTTTAATTCCTTATTAAATGCAAGCTAGGAGAAGGAAGAGATTTCTTTTTCATGTTTTTAGTTTGATGAATAGCTTACCCCGCCCACAAACGTGCATATGCGCGTTAAGCTTCATTTCAAGCCATTGTAACTGAGCTTCCGATAGTGAGAAATAAATAGTTTGAACGTTTCGGGTGAGCGGAATTGACCAGGGCGCTAGTAGCACTTCAGAATGTGAGAAACTGTTTTCTGGTAGCAAGCTGAGTAAGATTCGGGGGAGGGGCACACCTGTAAACGGCCAACCGGCTACTTGCCGAAGGGTTTCACGCTCTTCGTTTAACGATTAACTAACAGAAGTATCTACAGCTTCCATGCACTCTAGTGTTTCAGCGGTAAGGACACACATTATACTATACAGCCTTAATACTTTCATATTTTTACAACAATTATCACAATGAAAGCACTATTACAGCAATATTCTTCTGGGAGAAGTTATTTTTTAATTTTCTACTAATACTATCTGTATTTCTATGGTTATTTCAAAACCTGAAGAAGGTTGGGGAAATTGGAAACTTTCTAAGTTATCATTTTCAAAATGTACCTTATTGTTTAAAAACACATTTATATTAACTTTAAAGTAAACGCAGTCGTTAACGCTTCTCATTTATAAAAAAACTGTTGATTGCTTCAAATCGAGTATATTTAATCAAAGCGGCAATGTAGGGCGGAAACTGTTTCACTCTTCTTTTGTTGTTCGAATTATAGATATTCCCAGCTCCCAATTACCCGTGTCTCTTTTCTTCCAAAAACAACTAAAATTAACTTTATTGCTAATTGTACTTACAGATTTCTTATTGATGGTTAAAACATTATAAAAATAAACAGTTTCTTTTTTTTTTTTTTTAACTTGTATTAATTTATAGAATTGTGCATGATATATATGTGATTATAGAAATAGTTTATGCGTTTTTACCAAAGTAAAAAATAAATAAATTTCAGTAGATTCAAAACGAAAACAGGTTTGGTTTCAGTTTAAGGCTTCTATGTAACTATAAAATAAGTTTATTGCTTTATTTTTCTTTGAATAGAAATGTGTTGTGGGTTTAGATTAAGAAAATAAATTTCATTGCTTAATTTTATTGGGGGGGGGAAACATGATTTGCATTTTGTTTTGCAGAAATAAAAATACTTTTAACTGTAATTTAAAAAATGAATACGTGTAAAATTAGGAAAACATCCAATTTAACATTAATCCTTATTTCATAGGAAACTTAAATATCAATTTCAAGAGAAACAGTCAAAAAAAGGCCCTTCTTCTTCAAGGTGCAAAAGTATTGCAGCTTGGGAAATAATTTGAATTCTTGAAGAGGAAAGAGACCTTCGTTGCCTGCTTGCCTCAAAATCGGTAAAGTTTTCTATTAATCCAATAACAATCTAGTGTTAAATTTTTACCTGGACATTTTTTTTCTTTGTTATCTGTTTTCTCCTAATAAGTAAAATCTCCTTTCCTCCGTTGAAATAAGGAGTTATCTGTTTTTTTTTTTTTTTTTTTTTTTCTAATAAGTAAAACCTCCGTTCTTCCGCTGAAATAGCAAGATAAACGGAAAATGAGTTTTTTCACTTTTATTACACTGAATACTTATTTCGTCTGCAAAAAGTAGATAACCCAGCTACTTATATTTTTGGAATAGCGGTATGGATTGTGATCACAGTCAGTCCGGATATTTGGAGTTATATATATTGTAATGTTGTTTGTGAGTAAGCTAGAAATTCCTTAAATTTTCTCTTAATTCTTATTATTTCTACGTTCATTTCAGAACCCTAAGAAGCATGAAATTATATTAAAATATTATTAGTTATAATTTCTAAAATGCAACTTCTTGTTTGAACACACATGCGTATTATTTTTATAATAAATGCATCTTGAATTCTATTATTTGTTTAAAAATATTTTATTGCTTTAAAATCAAAGTACTTAATAAAAATTGTAATCGAATAAAAAGAAAATTTTTATCTATATTAGCGGCAATAGCTTCTGCTTAAATACAAAACAAATTTACTCTACGGTGTGTGTGTATTTAATTATGGCAAAGCACACGAGGGCTATCTGCCTAAAGGGAGGGATGCCTTTCGTGGAGGACTTTCTAAGGGAAACTGGCTCGTATACACGTTACACATGGGGAAAACCACGAAAACGCCCATGCAGCCAGCCCGTTCGCGGGATTCGAACCTCAGACCGAACTACCAGTGTTCAGCGCCTTTACCGCTCGGCCGCTGGTGGGCCAAATTTACTCTACGAATATTTGAGTTATGATATAATTATATAAATGTAATTTCAGAAATCTCGTTAATCAGAAAAGTACGGTATAAAATTTTGATTAAAACTGCAATATGATGCTAAAGTTTTTAAATACGTTTAATGGGTAGTAAAATTATAAATATGGAAATATACTTTCTGAAATATGAGTTATTCATAAAAATGAAGCGTAAAATTTCGATTAAAAACGGTGCAAGGTTTTAAAATAATTCTAAAGGAAAGTAAAACTCAAAATATTCAACTATTTCATAGCTTTCATCCATATATTAATGTGTTTGATTTCCCTTGCTCACAAATCTAGCTGTGCAGGTAAATGATAAATGTGCTTTAAATCAAATCATTGAATAGGCTTGTCAGGAATTGCTAATTTACTTCATAAATCAGGAGAGATTAATCTAGCAGGAATAAATGGCGATCTTTAACAAAGACTTTTCCAAGGAGTGGTTTAAGTGTTATTTCAAATTGATCTTTCGATTGAGTGGACAGCAGAAGATCAATTAGCGATTATCTTTAAGCTTTTACGATTCTAAAATATATTAAAGTGCCAAACTCCTAAAATCGTAGAGACAGTCAAACGAATTATCGCGGAGTCTTACTTTCTAATTTCAGTAATTACAAACTAAAATTGAAGTGTTAAAATAAAACCAATTCATTAAATCATCAAATTGACGGTTACACAAAACTGATACAGTAATAGAAATAAACCCCGTTGCTTGTGGGAAATGTAGGACAACCTTTCAAAGAGAAACTGAAATATAAAATACAAATTAACAAACAACCAATTAAGTAATCCTGGCTCAGGCCCTAAGTATTCGCTTTGCAAATGCGGCTTTCCGAAGCTAAAGCCGATAAATAAATTCAAATAGTTGGGACCAGAGACGTAAACAATGTAACAGGTCAACAAAGGTGCCGAAATCTGTCTAACAAACTCAAAATCTATGCGCTTATATAACATAACTAATTTGCAATTTGCTGGGAGTCGACGAAAGCAGTCGTGAACGTAAACACACTCTAAACATATAACTGGGTTAATTCACAAAAACTGTATAATCTAATCGCTATTTATTTCGAATTTAAAGTTTGGACTAATTTTCCATACACTTTTTAGTACAATTCTAAAATTTCTGAATCAACATAAACATGTACCCAGGTTTTAGATGTTCAATATCTTTGGTATTAAAAAAATTGCTTTAAGTAAAACAAGACATTTTCGAAGTACTTAAGTAATTCTTGTGAGAAATTACTCATGAGAAGAATCATCAAAGCTTCCTAAATTTAGCTACTTCTCTCTTGCATTTAACTAATTAGTTTTGAAACACTGTTACTTTTTACCCATTTCAGCAATGCTCTAGGCGTAAAGAATGCGTTAAAAGATTCTCACCCAAAATCTACAAAATAAATAAATAAAAATGGTAATTTTTATTAAGTAAGCAACTATTTTCCCTCATTATTTAGGTAGTTATTGTGTAGCAAATAAAATAAATTCATTATTAATGGTAATTATTAATGGACCGGTATTTGGCAGTTACTGCCAAAAGAAACAGGCAGAGCACAGCCTCAGACTTGTCTCGTCAGCTCTCTTCAGCCACTGGTACGACAATTTCAACGCAGACCGTGTACAGACGCTTAGGGCAGATTGGTCTATATGCTCGTAGACCTGTCAGATGCATTCCACTTACTGCAACTCACTGTCGCCTGCGGTTAGCCTGGAGTAAAGAGCATGCATTTTGGACACCGCAACAGTGGGCTTGTGTGATGTTTTCCGACGAGTCCAGGTTTAGCTTCCAGTCTGATTCTCGCCGGACTTTCATATGGAGAGCTCCAGGTACCCGTTACCACCAAGAAAACATCATTGAACGACACCGTTACGGGGGTGCAGGAGGGCTCGTTTGGGATGGAATTATTCTGGGTTCCAGAACTGACCTGCATGTTCAAATTGGAACCATGACAAGCCAAATCTATCGGGACGTCATTCTGGAACAACATGTACGTTTGTTTCGGGGCGTCATGGGCGCACAATTTGTGTTTATGGATTACAACGCCCGTCCTCACCAAGCAAACATCGTAAGCGAATGCCTTCAATCAGAAGATATCACCCATATAGACTGGCCAGCATTCTCACCGGACTTGAATCCAGTAAAGCCCGTGAGGGACATGATTGGCTGACGAGTCAACCTCCTCCTACATGTCTACCGGAACTTCGGAGAGCATTACTTTTTGAGTGGTGTAATATCCCCCAAGATCAGATCGATAATTTGATATTCAGCATGCCTAGGCGTTGTACGAACTGTATTGCATCGTCTGGGAGACATACAATGTATTAACAATCATACCAACCATGTAATATTGGTTTTTTGTAAATGTTTTTTTTTTTTTTTTTTTTAATTTGCTCTAGGGAGAAAAAATCGCTAATTTTTTTAATAATATCAAACATATAGCATCTTTTTTTGCTCTTTACCTTTTGTTTAATAAATAACCTTTACAAATAAGTCAAATTTCTTTCGCTTCTAACTCTTCCTTTGCCTGATTTTGCATTATCCTTAATTTATGGACATGAGTGTATTTAGTAGTATTTTCTCTGTT